GCCTGGATTGTCATGGAGACCACAAGATGTTGGCAATGCCAGAGCCACGGAGTGTCTGCCGAGGAGAACTGCTAACAGGGAGTGGAACCAGTCTAGGAGTGAGAAGTGTGTTGCAGTCCACAAGGCTGGAAGGGAAGGGCCATGGGAGCCTTCTGATATCACACACAGGATTTGAGGTTTACACTGCTGGGTTTCAGCCTTGCTTTGGTTCAGTATTTCCTCACTAAGTCCCTGTGCCTCCTCCCTTGTGGAAGGACAGGGTTTATTTCATGCCACCATACATGCTGGAAGTATGGAAAATTTTGCTCCTTGATTTCACAAGGGGTGAAAATGAATAGATTGCCTTGTGGATGAAAAAAAGAAAAAAGGAAAGCGCATGACTGCTCCTAGGTGTGATGGAGAAGAAGGTTCACTGTAGATAAAAGGGAGACATAATCAGAGGCAGGGACATCTAGGAGAGTCCAGGGTGAACACGACCAGACTGAACCCAGCCATGTGAGAAGAGGTGGAGGGGGAAAGAAAGAGGAGTCACTTACCAAGATGGGCAGCCTGGAGGGCACATAACCCAAATGGCTGGATTACATAAAGAAGGGCAGACAGGAAGGGCAGCTGAGCTCCTGGGCTGGAGAAGTCTGGGGCAGAGGGTGGGATGTGCCAGCCATACCCTGTAATACGTAGGAACTGAGGAATTCTCAGAGAATCTGGCAGTCAACATCCATTTTGATATGTTGATATAACCTGAGTCATTTGTTCCAGTTTTGAGACTAAAACACCTAAGTCTCAGAAAAAGACTTGGAATTTGGACTTTTAAATTGTGTCGAGACTGAGAAAGACTATGGGGACTTTTGAAGTTGGACTAAGACAATTTTACATTATATGACCACAAGCATACGGGGCCAAGGAACAGAAGGTGGTAGTCTGAATAGGAATAACTTATTGGCTTATACTGTAGCAGAACTATGCCCCCACCATAAGAATTCACTCTGCTTACTCAGAGGAAGAAAGGGACAAAGTTCTTAACTGAGAGTGTGTGACTGGCTCTGCCTAGCACCCAAGACTAGCTGGCCACGAGGAGAAGATTTTGCTAATTCAGACACACCCAAGGTTTATGCATTCCACGCATGCTGATATCCTGAAATCTCTTTCAGGTCCCAGCCCCAGGTTATACTTTGAATAATTTAAAAAGACACAGAGGACTGAAAGTCTGGCCGCTTCGGCAGATCTGAGAGTTTTAAAGCAAAGACACTACATATGGCCAGAGTTATCTCAAATATGCCGGCGTTAGACACAGAAGACTGAAAGTCTGGCCGCTTCGGCAGATCTGAGAGTTTTAAAGCAAAGACACTACATATTGCCAGAATTATCTCAAATATGCCGGCGCTGCTCTTTCTCAAATAGCTGTCACCCAGGGTCATCTTACCCACCTGGCAGAAATACGCTTTTCTTAAAGAAAAAACAACTTCATCCTGAGCTACTCCGCTGAGTTATTCATCAGGGGCATATTTCTCTGAGAGAAATGGGCCTAATGGCTGTAATAATGGTTGTGAGTCAGATTGTCTCAGTTGCAAGAACAGAGCCTATTGGCTGGCCAATCCTGGTGAACAAGCATTTACATCCTAGCATCATGAATTCCACTGAGTTCTAACAGGCCTGGTTAGCAAACTACAGATCCTTGGGGGCACTGCAGAGGTAGTACTCCCTTGGTTACATTTCTACTTTGTGTGACTTAATGTCTCCTAAGAAGTCTATTTGTAGAGAGCTGGAGAGATGGCTCAGAGGTTAAGAGCATTGCCTGTTCTTCCAAAGGTCCTGAGTTCAATTCCCAGCAACCACATGGTGGCTCACAACCATCTGTAATGAGGTCTGGTGCCCTCTTCTGGCCTGCAGGCATACAGACAGAATATTGTACACATAATAAATAAATATTTAAAAAAAGTCTATTTGTGAATTCTTTGTAACTTCAACTCCTTTTTTTTGGAGGGGGGAGTTCAAGACAGGGTTTCTCTGCATAACAGCCCTAGCTGTACTGGAACTTGCTTTGTAGACCAGGGTGACCTCGAACTCACAGAGATCCGCCTGCCTCTGCCTCCCAAATACTGATTAAAGGCATGCACCACCACCACCACCCGACCAACATCAATTCTTCAAGTTACTTCTATATCGATATGAATGTGATCCCCAGTCGGTTGAGCTGCTCTGGAAGGATTAGGAGGTATGGCCTTGCTGGAGGAGATATGTCACTGGGGATGGGACTTGAGTTCAAATGCCCATGACATTCCCAGTTAGCGTTCTCTCTCTCTCTCTCTCTCTCTCTCTCTCTCTCTCTCTCTCTCTCT